TACAAGATAACAACTAGAAAAGCAAGGGAAGGGGCTGGGAAGGTGGCTCAGTGGTAGAGCGCTTGCCTTGCATGCCTGAGGCCCTGGGTTCGATTCCTCAGCACCACATAAGGAAAAAAGCCGGAAGTGGCGCTGTGGCTGCTCAAGTGGTAGAGCGCTAGCCTTGAGCTGAAGAGCTGAGGGACAGCGCCCAGGCCCAGAGTTCAGGCCCCATGAACGGACCCAAAAAAAAAAAGAAAAGAAAAGCAAGGGAAAAGGTTATGCTGCTCATCCTGAGATGTGAACACAGGCTACAATGAAGTATAAGCAAATAAGCACACAGTGTACAGGGAATAGATAATGATGGCAGGTAGGCCCAAAGACTGGTAATGAAAACTGGCCGGAGACTGGAGACAATTTAGGAGGAAGGAGGGAAGGTAGATGCGATCTGGAGATGGGAGAAAGACAAGGGTTAAGTGGTGAAGTTGGATGCTAATTCTTCAGAATCATTGGTTTCTCATTCTTTCTGCAAGTATTTCCTCCTCTCTCTGTTTTCCTCTCTTTCTCTCTTCCCTCCTTTCTTCTTTCCAACACTGGGCAGTGAGTCTAGGGCCTCCTGTTAAGCCAGTCTGCCATCACTTGAGCCTTGTTTTTGATAGTGGTATAGCCACGCTGCCAGCTCTTTTGCTTTAGTTAGTTTTTCAGGCATTGTGCTTTTGCTCTAGCTGGCTTTTCATCACAATTCTCCTATATTCACCTCATAGGTAGCTGGAATTAGAGGCGTAAACCATCATGCCTGGCTTCTTCTTTTGACATAGTGTCTCACTAACTTTTTGCTTAAGCGGGCCTCAAACCACAATCCTCCAATCTCTACCTCCAAAGTTGCTGGATTGGTTTTATTTTATTTTTGACACCAAGTCTTGCTACCTTTGTCCAGACCAAACTTGGGACTCTCAATCTTCCACTTCCTAAATAGCTAACATTATAAGAGTGCCCCATGACAGTCCAGTCAACACATTTTTGTTTGTTTTTGCTAGTCTTAGGGCTTGAACTCTGGGTCTAGGCACTGTCCCTGGGATTCTTTTGCTCAAGGTAAATACTCTACCACTTAGCTACAGTGCCACTTCTACCTTCTTTGAGTAATTTATTGGATATAAGAGTCTCATAAGAGTTTCCTGCCCAGGCTGGCTTCGAACCATGATCATCAGATTTCAGCCTCCAGAGTAGCTGGGATTAAAAGCATGAGTCATCCACTCCTGGCTTAGACGATGCATTTTTAACAGGGGTGATATCACTCTCAAAGGTGCAATAAAAAACAAAAGGATTGGGCTGGGAAGGTGGCTCAGTGGTAGAGTGCTTGCCCCGCATGCATGAGGCTCTGGGTTCGATTCCTCTGCACCACATAAACGGAAAGAGCCAGAAGTGGTGCCGTGGCTCAAGTGGTAGAGCGCTAGCCTTGAGCAGAAGAGCTGAGGGACAGCGCCCAGGCCCAGAGTTCAAGTGCCACAACCAACAACAACAAAAAAAAGGATAATTATTTTACATGAAAGCACATACAGTAATACATATAAATGTTTGTAATTAAATATATTACAACAGCATGTATTTATTGGTATAAATACCAGTATATCAGGAGGAAACAAAAGGGTCTAAAAATAGTCCTTACATGGGTAATAATTTTTTAAAAAATAGAGAAAACTAAGCTTAAACAATCTGTAAAGAAATACTAGAGCCAGCGCTGGTGGCTCATGCCTGTAATCCTAGCTACACAGGAGGCTGAGATCTGAGGGTCACAGTTCAAAGCCAGCCTGGGCAGGAAAGTCCTTGAGACTCTTATCTCCAATAAACCACTAGAAAACCAGAAGTGGCGCTGTGGTTCAAGCAGTAGAGCACTCACCTTGAGCTGAAGAACGCAGAGACAACGCCCAAGCCCAGAGTTCAAGCCCCAGGACCGACCAAAAAAAAAAAAAAAAATACTAGATAATCAAGTAAACAGATTAAACTCATGGAGTTCTAGATCCAAAGAATACTAATTACTCAGCCAAACTACCTATAAAAGAAATAACAGGCCGGGCACCAGTGGCTCACGCCAGTAATCCTAGCTATGTGAGATCTGAGGATCAAGATTTGAAGCCAGCCCGAGCAGACAACATCTGGGAAAGTCTTGTCTCCAATTAACCAGCAAAAAGCTGAAAGAGGAAGTATGGTTCAAGTGGTAAAGAACCAGCCTTAAACAAAAAAGCTAAGCAAGAGCTTGAAGCACCAGGTGCCCAGTGGCTCACGCCTATAATCCCAGCTACTCAGGAGGCTCAGATCTGAGAATCGTGGTTCAAAGCCAGCCCAATCAGCAAAGTCCATGAGACGCCTATCTCTAATAAACCACCAGAAAAACCAGAAGTGGTTCTGTGGCTCAAGTGGTAGAGTGCTAATCTTGAGCTGAAGAGCTGAGGAACAGTGCCCAGGCCCAGAGTTCAGGCCCCATGACCGACAAAAAAAACCCCCCCAAAACCCTGAAATTAGCAAAATGAGATTAGGACTAGGTATGAAAGGCCACAAACCTGTTATCCAGTAGTATTCGCTTATATATATCAATAGCTTCTTGGTAATGAGATCGCATATAGTGGATTGAGGCCAAACTGAGCTGATCTTCTGTGATATCTTGAAGATTTTGATGAAAGTTCATTAATTTTTTCTCATCATTGAACTAAAATTGTAGGAGAAAAGACACATAAAGATCCACAGTAGTGGAAACACACTGTTGGTGGGAATGTAAATTTGTGCAACCACTGTGAAATCAGTATGGAGTTGCCTCACAATACTAAAAATCAATCTACCTTTTGACTCTGCTGTAACACTCTTGAGCAGATATCTGAAGGAGGGTAAATCAATTCACAAGATAAATACCTGCATTCCCATCTTTACTGAAGCTTTACTCAGAGCAGCCAAACTGTGGAATCAGCCTAGATATCCAACAACCAATGAAGAAATAAAGAATGTGTGGTATGTATATACAATGGAATATAATTTGGCCATTACGAATGAAATTGTTTACAGGAAAATGTATAGAACTAGAGATCATCTGATTGAGATAGCCAAGCTCAAAAAGTCAAGTATCCCATGTTTTCAACTCATGTGGCATCCACACCAACCATGACTGCCCTCCAAGGGACCAGAACCTGACACCTGTGAATACATTAAGCAGATAAAGAGCCAAGAGGGGAAAATCCTTTTAACACTGCCAGCTAGATTCTAGTTAAGTACCTTTCACTATCGTTGGTGACAAGATGGACACTAGAGAAATGTTTTCCAAACAGAAAAAGGGAGATTAAAAACAGAAAATACCTTGTGAGCCAAATGGAACAGCAGGCGGTTTTGGAGCCGGCTCTTTGGAGCTGAAGAAGGAAAAAAAAAAAAAAAAAAGATGATCCAAGCTGCTTTTTAAAGAACTTAATAGGGGCTGGGAAGGTGGCTCAGTGGTAGAGTGCTTGCCTTGCATGCATGAGGCCCTGGGTTTGATTCCACAGCACCACATAAGCAGAAAAGGCCAGAAGTGGGACTGACACTCAAGTGGTAGAGTGCTAGCCTTCAGCTAAAGAGCTGAGGGACAGCGCCCAGGCCCAGAGTTCAAGCCCCATGACCAACCAAAAAAAAAAAAAAAAAAGAGAGAACTCAATAGTCTAGCCCTCGATTGCCTGCAAGATTAAAAGGAGACTAGGATAACTCTCCCCAAATCTTTACCTAGCAGATGCTGGGGCGTATCTGCTCTCTGCCCAGTGCAGCAGCAGGAACATGAAGAACCAGCTTTCCCACCTCCTTGAGCTGGCTTCCATCACGGTGACCCACTTCATACAGGACAGCCGCAGCCCACTCCATGTCCATCACACACTGACAAACACTGACAATAGACACAGCCATCTCAGCACACGGACACCCTCCCAATCCCCCCTTTGTCACAGTACTCTTTCTCAATTCCTTCGGAAATTTTTTCCAGTTAGACTGTCATATTTGCTTAAATATTAGCTCTATCCATTGTCACAATCTTCCATGAAATGTGGTACTCTTAAATAGTCAGCCAAAACAAGAGGTTCACACCCTTATCCATTGCCTCTGTGCTCTTGAAAATCTGATTCTGGACACTCTATATCTCTTATGCAAAAAGAATTTTTCTTTTTTGTCGGTCATGGGCCTGAACTCTGGGCGCTGTCCCTCAGCTCTTCAGCTCAAGGCTAGCACTCTACCACTCATGCCACAGTGCCACTTCTGGCTTTTTCTGCTTATGTGGTGCTGAGGAATCGAACCCAGGGCCTCATGCATGCAAGGCAAGCACTTTACCACTGAGCCAACTTCCCAGCCCCAAAAGAATTTTTTTTGATAGTCCGGGAGATTGAACTCAGGGCCTGGGCACTGTCCCTTAGCTTCTTTTTTGCTCAAGGCTAGCTCCCCACCACTTGAACCACAGTGCCATTTCCAGCTTTTTCTGTTTTATGTGGTACTGAGGACTTGAACCGAAGGAGGATTCATGCATGCTAGGCAAGCACTCTACTACTAAGCCACATTCCCAGCCCTGCAAAAAGAATTTGTATTTCAATTCATAGGAAGGAAATATATATATATATAGACACACACATATATGCTGGACATAACTATCAACCACTTTTGATGTGGAAAAAAAAGTCTAGAAGCAACAGGTAAGGCAAATATTTTAAAGGACCTATGCCTAAATTAGTAGCTATGACACAGTTTGGGCACAGATGAAGAAAGGCCTCAGACTTTCTATTACACACATATGAATTCTATCCTAGATAGGACCAACTTCCTAATGAAACTTCTCTTGTCTATGTTCTCTGCATTTCTTTGAATTTCATTTACATCATAATTATTCTTAATCTTTTCTCCCAGATTTCCCTTTCCCCTTACTCTTCTTTTCAAATTTGAATACAATCCTCTAGAGATGGCCATCATGGCATTAAGAAAGCAGAAGGGAAGAGAAAGCATCTATATTCTTCTAGGTGAAATCGCAGGTTCTCCCTCAGTGGCTGCCCTGAATAACAATACCTCTGCACTGCTCTATCAGTAGCATGGCCACACTACTGAGCTGGCCTGATGGCGATGCCTTGCTCTTTTCCTTCTCTCATCCTCTACTTCTCCCCTTGGCAGAGGGCACTGTGAGGAAGGTGAGGGGAATTAGCTCCCTCTTTAAACATAAAGTTGGTCAAGTGCAGTATTTTTTCAAGTGTATAGCTTTAATATGTTCTTTTCAGCTTTTTATCTTTTAATCTTCCTTTTAGTGGCAGTACTAGGATTTGAACTCAGGGTCTCATGCTTTGCAAGCAAGTACCTTATTACTTAAGTCAATTAATTGATTGGGTCCTTTTTGTATACATTATTTTCAAGACAGGGTCTCTCTTCATGGTTGGTTGGCTTGTGGTCCTCCTATTTGTGCTTCTCTTTGTTTCTGGGATGCGAGGCATGTGGCACTGTGCCCAGCCATTGCTTGAGACAGAACCTGGTAAACTTTTTTGTCCAAGCTAGTCTTGACCCACAATCCGTTGATCTCTACTTCTCAAGTAGCTAGAACTGTAGGAATGAGTGACTTGCCCAGCACATTTTAGCGTTTTTGTAAATTGGGGCCTTTTTTGAACTTGGAGCCTTCTCTTCTTGCTTACGTTTTTTTGCCTGGCTGGTGCTCTATCACTTGAATCATGCCTACAGTTCAGCTTCTTTTGCTGCTTAATTGGACACAGAGTTTCTAACCATAATTCTAAAACTCTCAGCCTCCTGAGTAACTAAGCTTATAGATATGAGCTACCAACACCCAGGTCACTTTTTGCCTTTCTAATGTCAGTCAGTTTTGTCCTCATAAAAAAAGAACTAAGGAAGTTGGGCACCAGTGGCTCATGCCTATAGTCCTAGCTTCTCAGGAGGCTGAGATCTGAGGATCAAGGCTCAAAGCCAGCCCAGCAGGAAAATCTGTGAGACCAATAAACTACTCAGAAAAAGCCAGAAGTGGCACTGTGGCTCAAGTGGTAGAGTGCTTGCCTTGAGTAAAAGAAGCTTAAGGACAGAGCCCAAGCCATGAGTTCAAGCTCAGGAACTGGCAAAAAAAGAAAAAGAAAAGAAAAGAAGGGGGAACTAAGTTTTTTTTTTTTTTTTTTGGTGCCGGTTGTGGGGCTGAACTCTGGGCCTGGGCGCTGTCCCTCAGCTCTTCAGCTCAAGGCTAGCACTCTACCACTTGAGCCACAGTGCCACTTCTGGCTTTTTTTCCTTTTTGCTTATGTGGTGCTGAGGAATCGAACCCAGGGCCTCATGCATGCGAGGCAAGTGCTTTACCACTGAGCCACCTTCCCAGCCCCCTAAGAAAAGTTTTTAAGATCTCCAAAATGATGCATACTGAAGTGAAGAGTCTCCAATATAAGGTAAAAAAAAAAAAATATATATATATATATAGGTAAAAAAAGCCCATTTACCTTTAAATCCGGCTGCTTCAGCTTGTTTATACATCCCAAGAAAAAAGTAGGTGCAGGCTAGGTTCACCCAGACTTCAGGATTGCAATTTTCCTCCTTTGTTACATTTTCATATTCCTGAAATATATAGTAAGGGTGATCTGCGGCAGTGAAGCAGTTGATGGAGTGGGATTTCTTACTGAGACCGCAGGGCAACCTCAGGTGTAGGAAATCCTACAAGCCCAGAAGCTCCCTGCTCCAGGCAGTGCTGTAATCCTCCATCCTCTAACATTATTTCCCTACATGGTGCAATTGTATGAGCTAACTAATTTCAGAAATGAAAACAAAACAAACAACCAACAAGCAATATACTATGTATCTTAAAAAAGACTTCAACAACAACAAACACATACAGGGCTGGAAATGTGGCTGAGGGTAGAGTATTTGCAGAGCATGCATGAAGCCCTGGGTTCCATTCCTTATAAACAGAAAAAGCTGGACTTAGCGCTGTGGCTCAAGTGGTAGAGTGCTAGCCTTGAGCGAAAAAGAAGCTCAGAGATAGTGCCCAGGCCCTGAGTTCAAGCCCCAAGACTGGCAAAAAATAAAAAACCACACACACACACACACACACACACACACACAGACTTGACACACACACACACACACACACAGACTTGATTCATCTTAAACCCTGTAATAAACCCTATAACTTAGGGGTGTGTGTGTGTGTGTGTGTGTGTGTGTGTGTGTGTGTGTGTGTGTGTGTGTGTGTGTGTGTGTGTGTGTGTGTGTGTGTGTGTGTGTGTGTGTGTGTGTGTGTGTGTGTGTGTGTGTGTGTGTGTGTGTGTGTGTGTGTGTGTGTGTGTGCGCGCGCGCGCGTGTGCCTGCCAGTACTGAACCACTTGTTTTGGGTCCAGTCGTGGGACCTGAACTCTGGGCCTGGGCGCTGTCCCTCAGCTCTTCAGCTCAGCACTCTACCACTTCAGCTAGCGCTCTACCACTTGAGTCACAGCGCCACTTCCGGCTTTTTTTTTTCTTTTTGCTTATGTGGTGCTGAGGAATCGATCCCAGGGCCTCAGGCATGCAAGGCAAGCGCTCTACCACTGAGCCACCTTCCCAGCCCAGTACTGAGCCACCTGAACTCAGGGTCATGTGCTCTCACTCAAAATTGGTGCTTTACCACTGCTCTACTTCTGGCTTTTTGCTGATTAAGTGGAGGTCAGAGTTTCACAGACCTTCCTGCCTGGGCTAGCTACAAACCATAATCCTCAGATCTCAGTTTCCCGAGCTAGGAAAGTCGTGAGTCAACAATGCCTAGCTAATACCCTAGAACTTTAATACACTGTAAATTTCAATTCATTCTGACCTTGGTGATTTTTGTGGATTTGGCCTTACATTCAAAAAGGTTGTGTTTTCCTGCCAAGGGCACGTCTAAGATTCACTGTCAGTCACATTTTTTTGTACTCCTACTTTTTATCAGTCTTTCTCAGGTGCCTCTCTTGCTTTTTCTTACTGTATTTGGACTACCCTCTCTCTCCTCTACCTTTCCCCACTAGAAGCCACTCTTCTATCCTTTTCCTATTCCTTCAGCAAGTTTTTCTATTCTTCATCTCACCTCATTACTTGGCCTTGAATATTTTGAGTTTTTGTGTGTGTCTGTGTGTCTGTCCTAGAACTTGAACTCAGGGCATGGGCATTGTCCCTAAACTTTTTTTGCTCAAGGATAGAGCTCTACCACTTGAGCTACAGCTCCACTTAAAGAGTTTTTGGTAGCTAAGTGGACATGAGTCTTATAAACTTTCTTTTTTTTTTTTGTCGGTCGTGGGGCTTGAACTCTGGGCTTGGGCACTATCCCTGTGCTCTTCAGCTCAAGGTGAGTGCTCTAACACTTGAGCCACAGCTCCACTTCCGGTTTTCTAGTGGTTTATTGGAGATAAGAGTCTCAAGGACTTTCCTGCCCCACTGGCTTTGAACCACGATCCTCAGATCTCAGCCTCCTAAGTAGCTAGGATTACAGGTGTGAGCCACTGCCGCCACTGCCACCCCGCTGAGTCTTATAAACTTTCTTGCCCAGGCAGGCTTCAAACCACGATCCTCAGACCTTAGCCTCCTTAGTAGCTAGGATTATAGGCGTGGTCCACCAGTGTCAGGCATCAATGGTTTTTGGTTTTTTTTTTAATGTAAGTTCTTCAAATTTTATTACTTTCTTTTGTTGTTGTTGGTAGTGATGGTACTGGGGTTTGAACTCAGGGCTTAAGTGCTGGCTAAGCAAGTGTTCTACCACTTACTCTTCTTCACTTTAGTTGTTTTTCAGGTAGGGTCTCACATTTCTGCCTGGAGCCAGCCTCAGACTGATAAACTCCTACCTACAGCCTTCTGTGTGGCTAGGACTACAGACATAAGCCACTATGCCTGGATTACTGACCAAGATAGGCTCTCATTAATTTCTAGCTCTTTTTTTTCTTTGCCAGGGCTGTACTCAAATGGGGAGGATCCTTCTGATCTCTATCTCCCAAATAGCTGGGCTTACAGATTTGCAAGCCTGGTGGGTTTTTGGGATTTGTTTTTGTTTTTTGAGACAAGATGTCATTGAATAGCTCACACTGGCTTCAATCTTATATAGCCCAGGCTTGTCTTGAAGTATTTATGTAGCAAAGGCTGGCATCAAACTCACAATCTTCCTGCCTCAACCTCCCAAGTGCTGCAATTACAAGTGTATGCCACTATATCTGACTTTCCTTAGATTATGTCTTGGAAGTAAGACTATACAGGAGACAAGATGCTATAATCGGGCTGGGAAGGTGGCTCAGTGGTAGAGTGCTTGCCTTGCATGCCAGAGGCCCTGGGTTCGATTCCTCAACACCACATAAGCAAAAAGAAAAAAGCCAGAAGTGGCGCTGTAGCTCAAGTGGTAGAGCGCTAGCCTTGAGCTGAAGAGCTGAGGGACAGCGCCCAGGCCCAGAGTTCAGGCCCCATGACCGGACCCCAAAAAAAACCCAAAAAACAAGATGCTATAATCCCAGGCCATGGGTTCAATACTAATGCTAATATGATATGCATTCTCATTAGTAAAAGTAAAAAATAAACCAGATACAGCCTGGAACATATAGAGAGAATATCTCTGAATCAGTACAGTAACAAAGTGTCAGTGTTCTTTTCCATTAACAAAGAAGTGGGATGGGATGTTTTTAATGTTACTTCTTTCTGCTTTGTTTGGATTTTACCAAGTTGTACTGTTGTTATACACAGTGTAATACCATTTCCAAAGGCTCCTGTTGGATGGTGGTTGTTGTTGTTTACTTACCTCCAGAGCCCTCTTGTAGTCCCCCAGGTGAAAGGCACAGTAGCCAATCCACAGATTAGTATCTTGTTCTTGCTCTCCAGCATGGCGTTTGAACTTCAGGTTAGAAATTCATAGAGGAAAAAAAAAGAAAATCATGAAAACTTTGAGTAGTAAACCTTCAATGTAAAAACATTCTGTGTTATGGTATTGATGAATATTCAACATGGAACGTAACAGAAGTAGGGCAATATGCAGTTTTTTTTTTTTTTTGGGGTCCAGTCATGGGGCCTGAACTCTGGGCCTGG